AGATACACAGTTCCAAACCCAGTCGCTTTCAGCTCCTGGCCATTGGCCTGTTTCACAGTGAAGCTTTGCTTCTTAAACGTTGAAAACAGTTCTGGGCGCGACGTCATGTGTTGCGTCGCTCCAGTGTCCAAAATAAAAGCGTTTTCCACTTCTGGTGTGGCTTTTAGTGACATCAAAGCCATAGCTGGTTCCACTTGGGACTTGGTACGACTTTTGCCTGACACCTCAGGCTTTGCAGAGCTTCCCCTAGCTCCTTTCTGCTGACGTGGCCTCTTACAGTTCCGCTGAAGATGCCCAGTCTGTCCACAATTGAAACAACGGACAACGTTCAATGCAACAGCCTGTTCTTCACTAGCAATAGCAGTGGGGGTGTCAGAACTCCGAGCTTCTCTCCCCCTGTCTTTGACATCTATTGCAGCAAGTCTGTCTTTCTCATTGAGAATCACGGCACAAATTCTCTCCGTCGTGAGATCTGCGGCAGGTAGAGAACCAAGCTGACTTGCAACCGTTTTATAAGTCCGATTAAGGCTGTTAATAATCATGAAGCAGAATATCTGTTCCTGAAGAGGGAAATTGCTTTCCGCCATCTGCTGGCGTAAGAATTTCATCTCTGTCAGATGCACTTGTACATCTCCATCAGGCGCTAGCCTCAGATTGGTCAGTTTTTCAAAATGCAGCAACGCTGAAGAACCAGCATCTCTTTGATGTATTCTACGCAGCGTATGCCAAATCTCACGCACGTATTCCAAATCCTGAATATGCACGAGTTGATCATCTGAGATACACAGAATTATGGCCGTCCTGGCTCTCACATTCTGTGAATTCCAACCTGGCGTTGGTGCTGCAGGGATGGGGTTATCAATCACCCCAAAAATCCTCTGATTCTGAAGCAGGGCTTTCATCTTTACAGACCATGAGGAATAATTGTCATTATTCAGTGGAGGTGGGTAAGGTAAGCCTCCCCCCCTTCTTGGTATCCATTTTGAATCCAAGCCTCAGCTCTCACTCTCGAGCCTGTAAAATTCCAGGAGTCTATTGGCTGTTCACTGCGTTGCACTTGGCAGCTAAACACAGGCTGTTTTGAAAATCCCTCCAAGAGCAGTGAGATAATAGACAAAACAAACGCTGTTTTTCTACCAGTGTTTTTTCCAGCCTTTTACACTCCCAGCCCCTCTACCGTTGGCTAGGAAATTTCCACTTTCTTTCAAGCTAACTATCTCCGAAGTAGCTGAAAAGATTGACGTCTCGTTGCTTAGCAACTGGCTTTATCAAGACTCAGGAATGCGAGGAATGTGGCTCTCTCTCAGTGCTGGTTTCATCCAAAAGCAGACACTCAGTGAACTGAAGAATGCTTCAATTCGCGTTCACTCTCACAGCCATAAAATCACCATACCTTGTTCATCTGTTGCTCAGCAAAAACACCTTCTCCGGTGCTCAGCCGTCCTTGTAGCTTCCACCCGCCCGCTACCACATTCTTTCTTTATCTCCTTGCAGAGGATGAAGTACGATCCATCAACCTCTCTTGTTGCTTTCATGGATCAAAACCATCGGCTCTGTTCTACCAGATGTCGGAAATCAAGTCTTTATCAGGAGAAACTGGCAACTCTCCCAGGCACCCGGCTTGGTCTCCTGTTGACCTCCCTGTCTGCTTTCCCGGCAGGATCCACGCTAGGTCGCGATAGGTGATCCTTCTCAGCATGAGAAGAACACCCCCCCTCTTTCCTGCCCCCCCCCCCCGGGCAGGGGAAAGAGATAGACAGAAATGTATTTACATTCCTTTATTTCTGTCTTTGCAGCGTTACAAAAAACATGACTGCTCTCTTCATACTCCTGCAGTCGAGAGAGAACAAACACTTCCTGTCCAGCTCATATTACACTCTGAGCTAATTCCGGTGCCCTCTGCACTGTGAATTGACTGTCCCTCTGTTTCCCACGGAACAGTCCTAACATTCCATCATGTGCTAACAAGCTAACAGCTTTTCAAGCTAACAGCTCGCGGCTGCATTGCTTCAATATCGTAACACTTAATTCCTATCCTTACATATTTAAATCCTAAGCCTATCTCATATTTGCAAGCTTTTCCAATCAGGTTATCTTGACATATTTAGCTAAATAATCTTTGAATTTTGTCCATTCTTCCTGGTACTCCTCCTCCTTCTGGTCGCAGACTCTTCCCATCAGGTCGGCTAGCCCCGGGATGTGACTAGATGCTTATAATGTATGCCAGCCAATCTGGCACAAGTGGGTAGGGTTGCCATCCGCCCGGAATTGCCAGGATTTGGCCGTTGGAAACAAGTGTCCATGCGGGAAACGCTTGAATGTCCAGGAAAATCCAAACGTATAGCAATTCTACACGTGGGGAGTAGGGACGCAAGCGCAAATCAGAATAAAGCAAAGGCTGGGAAAGTTCAAACAGAAACCCACCCACCCACACTATTCCTCAAGATTTGTGTTTAAGACACAGGATCATAGAATTTTGGAGTTGGAAGGGACACCGAGGACCATCTAGTTCCGTTATTCTCAATCAGGGGTCCGTGGCCCCATCCCTTGCCTCCCTCCAACTAATTTTCTCTCATTTTGGCATGGCAATAGCATACATTTTATGGGCTGTCTTCTTGTTTTTAGTATGCCTATAATCCTTTGCTTATTACCCCACATTTTGTTCAAAAAATTGCTTTGCAGAGGTAACTACCATAGAGTTATCAAATTTTTCAAAAGTAGGGGGTCTGTGGCTTGGCTTTTGAAAAATAAGGGGTCCTCAGTAATCAGCCAATTAGGAACCACTGATCTAGTTCCATCCCCTACAATGTCGGAATAACGCAGTTGGCCTATACAGAGATCAAACTTATGACCTTGGCATTATCAGCACCTCGCTCTGAACATCTGCGTCACCTTCAGAGTTGTTGTTGTGGGAGCTGTAGTTCACCAAAGTAAATATTGAAAGGATCCTCTTTTCACATCAAGGACAGACCATGCCAAATATCTACCTTATGCACAAAATTGACTCCCCAAGCTCTTCTTGTGTTTTAAGACGCTGGGATGTGGGGAGCTGGAAATTCCACTGGGCGGGCAGAAGCCCCTTTTGTGACTCAATTGAGCTCTGTCTTCAACCCCAATTTTAGTTTGGAAAACTCCTCCCTTTTCCTTTAACACACTCCCCTCCCCCCACTTTCCTTCATTCCACTCTTTTCCCTATCGAAAGCAATTTCTAATGTCCACTGCCAGGACCAGCTGAGGATGTTTTTGCTTGAGGCAGAAACACCCTGAGCCCTGCCTCTGCTTCTCCTTTAGGAAAGGAGGCTGGAGAGGAGCAGGTTGTGTTGGCGAAACCCTCACAAGGGCCTGACCGTGGTCACAACAGTGGCATGGCTGCAAGCATGGTGCTCTATGGACCTTGATCTGCCCCCCCTTGAGCCAATGGCCTCGCAACGCCTCATGTGCAGGTTGGCCCTGCCAATTCCTAGGGTGCCCAGTTGGATTATTTCAGTGGGGAAGGGGGAAGTTCCCAATCCCGATCCACTGCTCTCCGCCTCCTTCCCCTCAAAGTGATCCATCTAGCCTCCACTCCATCCCACTTCAAATGAAAATAAATAATAAAAGAGCTCCCATCCAGACTCTGCAGTCTCCATAGCTGCTCTCAGAGCTCCAGTCTCCTTTGGTCATTTTGGGGACCCCTTGAGAAGAACAAGTGGACATCTAGGAGTTGCTGTTGGTGGTGGTGGCGGGAGCAGGGCTCAGCTCCTCCTGCTCTTAAGTGTGCTCTGCTCAGTTCTGCAGCCTTATCCCTTGGCACCAGGTGCACATATGCTCTCATAACCCCCTCAAGCCAAGCCCAGTTCTTTTTCTTCCTCTGCTCTCCCTCCTACCACTGAGCCCTGGAGACAAAGCTTAATGGGGAGAGGGAGAGCAGACCTCCCTCAAGAGTCTATGCAACACTTCGCAGCCAGCTGCTGCTGGGCTGAAACTTGCAAGCTGCAAGCAGTATGAGGAAGGAGAGCAATTGAGAAACACCTTGGGGAGCAATGTAGCCCTCTTTCTGCACCTGCAAGCCTTGTTGTGAAGAGCGAAGTCAGATTCCATGGTATCTGCACGACCTGATGCCCCATGCAGCACCCCCTCTCCACAGCCTCTCCCTCATGTGTGCTGCGAGGGCCCAAGGCGGCTACATTTGGAAAGTCTGGCTGAGCTTCAGAGCAGTGGAGAAACCAGCAAAGGCAAGTGTAGCTTCCCTCCAAACACCAGAACAATCTCTGCACAACGGATCTTTCATTTTGAAACAACCGTTTCCCAATAAATTAAGAGTGTGTGTGCACCAAGTACAGGAACCCAAGACAGAAAAGCAGAAAGACAAAGTTGCAGAACTTGGGGTCGGGTGGGGAGCCCAACCCAACCCAGCTGTACCCACTGCCTCAGCTCCCCTCCTGCTGCCCAGCCTGCGCCCCCCTCCTCCCTGGTCCCTTTAGGCAGTGCTTAGTGTTTCATGAAGAATGAACACCCTAGAGCTCTACTTGGCAGAATGGGGAGAGATAGCTGAACTATAGAGAGCAGGCTAAGGCGTAGGTGGGCCACAGTGGCTGCCCTGCCCCTTCTTGATGAGCATCAAGGCTGGGGGGACAGAGAAAGAGGTCCTGCAATCCCAGGACAGGCCAGGAATCCTTATGCCTGGTACCCACCAAGAGTAGCACATGCTCAGCTGCAGCAGAAGGGGAGAGCGTGGACTACTGCGCAGGGACTGAGAGCAGCAGTGGTGGTAGGAGGATGGGCAGGGGAATGACTGTCCTCCAACAGGGTCCCTCCCCAAGCACCCTGAACCTGCTGCCAATGCCCTGGAACCATGTGGAAAGCCAAGTGTGCAACCGTGTCAGGAGTCAAGAGGAAAAGGTGGAAAGGGCGAAGCACAGGGAAGGGAGCTGGCACATGGCAAGATGGCACAAGGGGAAGGGCAGGCACCAGAGAACAGAGGCTGGGCCTTGCCTCTTCCCTCCCCACTTCGTCTCCAGTCACGCTTGGCACCTTTCGTAGTCATCCGCCCCCAGCAGGAAGCCCAGGAGGAAGCCGATGGCACTCGGCAGAAGGTTGGGCAGAGGCCGTAGCAGGAGGCTGGCGAAGAGGGTGGCTGCAGGGAAGCGAAAACATTTGCATGAGAGGAGGCGGGAGCAGGAGGAAGGCCAGCTCCCAGCCAGGACAGGCAGGCCTTACCTAGCATGTTGCCACTGACGTTGTTGCTCTCAGAGTATTTCAGCAGCTCCCGCAGGAAAGCCACCACGAAGCAGAACACGTTCTGGTGCGACCGCGGCAACTGGCAGATCACCGGCAAGACAGGGAGGGGCGGTTTGGAGTTTCAGTGCAGAGCTTTGCTAGAGGAGGGGCATGGATCACTAGCACGGTGTACTTGTTGTGTTTGCAGGCTTAGACCTGGCATTAAAAAAGAATGTTTAAAATGGTAACCGGACTAGAACCCTGCTGGGAACTTTGGGGAATAATACAACTGTAGAGTCGGAAGGGACCACGAGGGTTAACTAATCGAACCCCCCTGCAATGCCTAAGGTGGGGCTCGAACTCAGGACACTGAGATGAAGAGTCTTATGCTCTACCAACTGAGATATCTTGGGGGAAGGGCCATTGCTCTGCTTTTCATGCAGAAAGTCTCAGGCTCCACCCCCAGCATCTCCCAGGAGGGTAGGGAACATCCCTTGTCTGAAATCCTGGAGAGCCACTGCTTGTCAATTTCGACAATACTGAGCTAGATGGCCCAGTATATGGCCGCTTCCTGGGTTGGAAATTCAAGCGAGGTTCACTGAAACAGGTGGGCTATTGTTACAAGTCCTGGTCAGAAAGCAAAAAGGCAACATGTGCGCACCCCACCCCCCTCCACAACCGAGAGGGATGGTTATCAAAGGAGACATCAGCAACCTCTGCAGTTAACAAGGCTTCCCAGACCAGACTAGCCCTCCTGCCAGTGTGCCGGTTTACTGGCTTTCAGGGATGTTTTAGTGGATTTCCTGTTACTCGCGGCAACATTTGGACTAGATGACTTTGTTTTGTTTTTTTTAAATGATATTTATTGAGATTTTTTTTTTAAATTACACAAAAGAAAAAACAAGACAAAAAAGAAAAAGAAAAAGTAAAACCATCTTTCTCCAATTCTCCACTTTCAATACCTTCTTTCCTTGACCTCCTCCTCCTCCCTTTTCCTGTATCCTGATTTATAATAATCACAGCAAATCCTTTCCATAATTCATAGTATTCTGTCATCACATTACCTTAATCTATTTTCATCTTATCTTATAAAAAAACAACAACCTTAAAGTTTAGAACTTAAATCTTAATTTTTACCAACTTCTCCTAACCATAACATTCTTACCTAATTCTTTAAACATTTTTTATAAGAGCCAAATAATTTCATTTCAACATTTTCCTAACATTCATCAATTTTATAAAACAGTCCTAATGATAAAAATAGAAAAATAAGCAATGCAATCTTCATCCAGCGTCCCTTCCTCCTGGTCCCGGGTTTTGTCAGTCCTTTTTATCTTATTAATCTAGCACATTAACCTGGCAATCTTATATCCGAGGCCCTCAAGTCTCTTCCATGTCCCTTCCGCAGCTCTTCTTCATATTTTCCTTTTATTCGTGGGAACTCCAGCTTGGTAATGTTTTTGACCCTTTTCAACAAAACAGTCCCTTTTCCATAGTCCAGACTAGACTCAATGTAGTATTTAAAAACATGTTCCAGATTCCCTTCAAAGTTGAGAGCCCCCACAGCTCCAGACATCTGACGGCCCCTTTCCAGACTCGAAAAGTCCAAATCTCCTGTATAGGGGGTCTATCCAACCCCCATTTCCAAACCAAACCAAATTTTATCTTTCCAAGTCTGGTCTTTTCCAAGTTCATTTGTCAAATCCAAAAATTTATATTCCTGCTGGGCCACAGCTCCCTCCGTCTCTGGCGCCCAAGATTCAGCAGAATCCTCTTCTCTCAGCTGTTCTCTCATGGCACACTCCTGTTTTAGTTCCTGGGTGGGCTCCATATAGTTTCCCACTACCTGTTCAAAGGTTCTGGCCGCATTAGTCATCAAATCCGTCTTCTGGCTTAACTGATCCAATAGGGCATTTATTTTGCAGAAAGCACCCAACAGTGCTTCTGAAGACATTGTCCTGCAAGGTCACAAACCCTTTCCCACGGTTGTAATCAATGACAGCTGCAAGCTCCCAGGGATTACTTACAATTTCACAGTTCCCCTCTAGGGGGAAAAACTTCTGGTTGTTCTTTCTCTTAAAAACAATAGCAACAAAGTTTCTTTTTTAAGATATTTTGTCCATATTTGTTCTTTTAAAATGCGAAAGGAAGCAATGGAGTCACTATGTTTCTCTTCTTTTAACTATCTGTCAAAGACATTTGTTTCTGGTCAATGAGCTTCAAACGTCAATTCTGACATCCCGCTCCAGGATCAGGACGGTGGAAAATTACTTTGCTTTAGATTCACTTCTGCAGGTTTAAACAGCTCAAAAAAGATCCCCCTTCTTCTCCTGCTACCGAAGGGGGGTTCAGCTATTTTAAATGATGAAAGTCAATCCTTTAAAAGTGATTTTTAAAGCTCTAGTTTGCGTTGTCTTTGCTTTGTTCTGGCTACAGGAAACGGAAGGCGGACTTCCTGTTTAAACCTTCCCGTTTCAGTACCAAATTAAGGTGAATTTTTAAGTCCAAATTCCTTTCTATTTCGCCAGTTCTTATTTAAAGTCCAAATATTCAATGTTCCAGTACTCACGGTTGGTTATTTTAGATGCCAAATTGTCCCAGGAAAAAGGCAGCGCTCTCCGGCAACGGCTATGCGGCTTTGCTCCGCAGAAAAAGCGATTGACTCACAGCACCGCGCCACTTCCCCCTCTTCGCTTCGGAGCCCGTTTGTGGGTTCCTTTGCGGGTTGGGGGGGCGCTAAGGGTGCCTGCCGAGTCCCACGGTCACAGGCTTCATCCGCCTGTGATTTCCAGAAGGGTCCCCGCTTCGCCGCAGCGGAAAAGACCCGTTTCATGCGGAGCTGGTCCCTCCAGTTCAGAGGGAGTCCGCCATTGCCGATGGCGCCACCCCGGAAGATTTGGACTAGATGACTTTGGAAATCCCTTCTGATTCTATGCTTCTGTACACACCACAGACCAGCCAGGAAGAGATGGGGCTCTGGGGCCAACCTGGCGACAGAGGTGGCTGTCATGTGAGCACTCAAGGCAGTGTTGATACAGTTCATAGCAAAGGACTGGTTCTGGCACTGCCTCCAGGAAGATGAGCAGAGCTTCGGCCACCGAGTGGTCACTGCCAGCTATTGACAGCCTGGCAAGGGAAGTGTTCTGTCCTGTTACCTGCACCCTGCCTCCTTCCCAGGCTGGTCCAAAGCAAGAAGCTTGGTCCTTATACATGTGGGCCCACCTTGCAAGTTCCCCCTTTTGGCGCAAGGTGGACCTTGAACCCGCAGCCCTGAGATTAAGAGTGTCACGCTCTACCAGCTGAGCCATCCCACTGTAATTATCCCACACCTCCCCTCTTGACGAAGCTGCCTGCAAAGCTGATCTGCCGAGGAAATGTCCTTCTGCAGGCATGGTTTCAATCCAAACAACAAATACTAGTGGTCAACTCCAAAAGTGCGGTCAACAAACCCTGCTTGCCAAAGAACAATTGAAGCTCCTTTGCAGCCATGTCTTTACCTGTCTCCACACCTGACACCACGTATGATGCTAGATGTGGGGCCTGCGGGCCTGTCAAGGTTCCCCACCTCTGCTCTATCTAGCCAGGCTGATGTTTTCAAATGGGGGTTGTCAGGGAACTGCCATCGGAGCTGGAAGCGGAGGGAAGGCTCCAAAGGGATGGCGGAGAGGGTCCCAGTAGGGAGAGAGGGAGCCCATCTGCTGGGGAAGGAAATCAGCGTAACACCAGTAGAGAAGGGGGGCAGATGGGGGAATCGGGGAGGAGGCTCCAAGACTCCTCGCCGGAGACCAGCGGAGAGAGTACGGGTACTCCACTGCCCACACCCTCCCTGCGCAGAAGACTTCCGCGCAGGGAGAGTAGGAGGAGACTTGGCGTCAAGGAACTTTTGTGCTGGAAGAAGTTTAAGAAACGCCCACTGACGGATTCTGCCAGTGACTGAGACAGTCACGATGCTGGAGGCTGTTCAGTCAGAAAGCGTTAACCAGGTAACCTAGCCAGGAGTGGCGGCAACTTACACACGAGCAACCCCTAAACCCATTACATGGGTTAAAGCTGTGAAGCTGTTTGGATGCATGACTGGACTTTACTGTGGGCATTTCATTGTGCTGTGTCCCAGAGCCTTAAGGATGGGGTGGCCTAGGAACCTAAGCCACCAGGTATATAAAAGTGAGGTCCACTCCAGCCAAGAGTGAAAGAAAACCACCAAGCAGCCCTACTCCCCAACAATGTCCCCCAAAGAGGTTACAGATCGTCTCAGGAATGCTGGTGTCCAGGCACTCAGTTCTCTCCTGCAGCTCATCCTGCATGCCCGGGGTTTGGAAGAGGTCCTCCTGAAGCAGAGTATCACCCATGCGTTAGGAAGGGATGAGGTACATCCTGGATAGCATGCAGAACAATCCAGCCCTGGGGTGCATAATGTGAGGTCGAGGAATGCCACAATGGAGAGAAGCCCATCACCAAGAGAGCTGGCACAAGGGCTGAAAATTGTATCCCGCCTGCTTTCCACAGTAGCATTCCTACTACCCTTCTCATGATTTGGGGCAATGGGAGAGTGAAATCATTCCCCTCGTCTTCTAGTGGCGAGTGTCAGAGAGCTGCTTTGCGAGGGATAGACAGACAATGGTTGTGAACACTTAGGTTCTTCTGAGCCGCTCTAAGGAAGACCGTATGCTGGATGTCCCACCCGCTGCCGCTCCACCAAGGTGCCACTATACTCACAGCAGGAGTTTGTAAGAGCGAGTCGGTAGCTAAGATATAAATCAATTGTGGCGTTTGGAAGCTGCACACCCCAAAACTGGTACTGGATTCCAGCCAACACCCATCCTTTCAATGGTACAGTCCCCCTCAGCTCACCTGGTGGCAGGCATTCTTGAAGAGGTGGCCCACCAAAAGCCAGATCTCCTTGGCCGCTCAGTGGAGTCATCACCATCCTGGGGTACGATATCCAGAAACTGCTTCTCCTGGAGGTCCAATGACAAGCGGGACTGGCATGAGAGCCTGACAGAATGTGTGCCTGTATGCATTCTTTCCTTGCTCCAGCTGGGTGGACAAGTCTTGCCCTCTGAGGCCACAACTAGGGCTGGGCGATAGCTGGCTTTCAACACGGTGATATATCACTAGCTAAAGATTGCAATACACCAATATATCACGATGTCTGAAATAAGATGGAGCTATGTAGAGGCATTGGCTGGCTTCACGGTTTCCCCCGCATTGTGATTTTTGCTGCCCCCTGCAGGAGGGCAGGGGAAAGCTGAACCAGCAGAGTCCACAGGGGCTGCAGGAATCTAGAGAAGGATTGTCTGGCTTCACAGTTTCCCCCCACATGGTGTTTTTTGCATAGTACACACACACATCATGATTCGCAATATATTGCCAGGTCAGAAATTATGAAACCAGTCTCACTATCTAGACTTCAAGCTGATTTGAAAATATATCTATATTGACATATCGCCCGGCCCTAGCCACAGCAAGCATCTCAAGTGGGGAAACGAAAAACAAATTGCACGCACCCCAAATCCAAGCTCCCCCTCCCCCTATTAATATGCAGCTCGTAATCCTCCCACTCCGGATGTGCAGTTCACCCAAAAGCTTACTGAATATGCAGCTGTGGACATGAGGTTTGGCTAACATTTTATTTAAATTGCTGGAACCTGCCCTGGGACCTTAGGGTGAAGGGCAGGAAATAAGTAACAAAAACAGCAACAGAACATGGATGGGCCTTCATAGGTTGATGGGCTGCAGCCCCAGCCAGCATGATGAGATGATGGGGTCACATGTTCACCACCCCTTGTCTAGAGCACGTTGCAGAGGCAGTGGTAGAAACTGAGCAACAGCTGGAGCCCCAGCCCACGACTTTGTATGGGCAATGCAGCACACAGCAGCTGGTGAACAATGCCTCCGGCCTCCTTCCCATCTTCCTCTCCAGAAATGTTCAGGGTGGTTAGTTCTATCTCAAGCTACCACATTCAAGAGAAAGAGAAAGAGAGGAGGGGGGAGCAAGAGAGCTTTAGGAGCACAGCAATGGCAAGCAGCCCATCACTAAAAGGAGCTGGCAAGGATGGAGAATTTGATCCCCTCATCCCCAGGGCAGCTGTTGATTAGGACCCAGTTCATCCCCCCTCCCCCTCCGCCAATACTCCCCGCCCCTGCAGAGAGAGAGAGAGAGAGAGAGAGAGAGAGAGAGAGAGAGTATTGGTGTGGGGAATGACACATGCTGTATCAGAGTCTTAGTGCAAGAGTAGCTGGTGCATGCTAAAGAACACAGGAGCCTTGCTGGGTTAGATCAGCATTTTGTTCCCACAATGGCCAACCACATGCCCTTGGGAGTCCATAGGGACACGGGGACAAGAGCACTCTGTCCATCATGTTCCCCAGAAACTGGTAATCAAAAGCATGTGGTTTGTGATAATAGTGGCAAGAAATAGCCCTGACCGGTAGCCACTGATAAACATATCCTCCATGGTTCTAAATGTCTACAGCTGTCCAAATTGACAGTCACCACTGTCTCCTTGTGGCTAGAATAATACACCCAAGTAGATCTGATTTCGAGAGGAGTGACATTTCCCTGAGCCACCCCAAAGCAGCCACTACTGCTTCCCAAATGCCAGTGCTCAGGTGGTAAGAGTAAGCCAGAGTGGCATAGTCTGTGCAGCAGTTGCTGAGCACAGAGACAAGGAGAAAACTGGCTCTTGGGGCCAGAGGGGGCTGGCGCCTGCATCATAAAACTGGGCTTTCTGCCTCCCGTGCTGCCAATCGCAAGCGGACCCAAAGTCAAGCAGCGCAAAATCAGTGACAAGCAGGGATGGCAAATTCTGGTTTCGTCTCCGTTCTCCTCTGCCGAGTTCTACAAGGGCCACGTTGAGACTAGGGAAGAGACCAAAGCAGAGAGCTAGAGCCACCACCTGGACTGGATTTGAGTCAGAAGGCAGGCAGGTGCGGGTTGCCTGAGAGGAAAGTCAGGTTTGTTGGGTGTAGTGAAGGGTTAACCTTCTGTGTCTCGAGGCTGAGAGGAGGCGCTTACAAGGGAAGTAAGCCAGGACGTGACGAAAGCAGCTTGGAATGCTGTGAGCTGAGTGAAAAGTGAAAGCAGCTTTGCTACGCAGCTGCTGAGAGAGACAGGTCGCAAAAATGCAGCTTGAATCAGATGGACTGTAAATATGCTATTTTTGAGCAAATAAAGTGCTACTAGAAAAGAAGAAACGTGTGGGACGTCCTTTACTGCCCTTTCGACACGGACGCTGTGCAATTCTGCTAATTGCTTTACGACCTGCAGAGCCACAGGGAAGTGTGCCGGACACCAAGAGTAAAGCAATAAATCTTATCCTAACAAGGTTGGTGGGGTAGTGCCTGGTTTGCCCTAAGGGACCAGCTGCCACTGCATGGAGCAGCTGCTGATCGTTGACAAGGGCAACTCCATTTACGTGCCTTCGGGGCACATGCACACTGGAAGGGGCACTTGAAGGGGCAAAAATGTCCCCCCCAAGAGCACAAAAGCGGCAAAGCGACATGGAAACAGCACCTCGACTCCCTCCCAGGAGCTTTGGCACCGACCTTTCAGGCCTGTGGAGAGTTGGAGCAAGGAGTTTTGCAGGGAGGCTGGCAAGTGCTGCTGGTTTTCAAAAGGCCTTTCAAAAGGGTTTCCGGAAGTTTAGAGAGGGTTTGCAGGATTTTCCAATGCTGTCCCCATTATACGCAATTTCATTTAAACGCACAGTACCTCGAAACGCAACCCCCGTGTAAACGGGGCGTTGCCTGTACCTGATTTGAGCCCGCTACAAGAACATCTAGAGGATACCAAACCAACTGTTACCTTTTCTAGGAAGCTGTCTTCTCCCTGAGATCAGAGGAGGAAGGCAAGAGCAAAAGACAACCAAGGGTGTTAATGGCACAGGCCCTGAGAAGAGAAAGAAACAGCCCGTTGGCTGAACAGTATCTGGGCAGATGGCAGGGAAATGCACACGGTTCAGTGGCCCTGCGAAAGGGCAGGTGGGAGGACCAGAACCTGGGATGACTCAGTCAAGGCAAACAAAGGGCATGAACAGCACACAGGAAGCGGATGCACAGCTACAGAAGGTGACGCTGAATGCAGCGAAGGACCCCCAGCCCCCACATTGCTGAGTGGAAGAGCAGCTGTTTTTCAAGCAGGCAAGCAGAGTGGGAAGGGTAGACATTCAGCACATGAACCTGCCAGGTAAATCAACCCCTTTCCCTACCAGGTCCATAAGTCTGGTGACGGGAACTTCGCCAATCGGCTGCCTCATCCAGCACAAGGCTTCCAAGGAGGTCCCGAAGCAGCTTGGTAGGTAGCTCCCACTGAGGGTGAGGAAATAGTCCTTGCCAGGGTCAAGGTGAAGGACAAAGATAGCCTCAATCTTCTCTTCCTTGCTGATGTACACATCCAGGGAAATGTCCGTCTCACCTAAAACGGGAGGAGGTCAGGTAGATACACTCTTTGGCACAGCCAAGTTGGCTTGTCTGTAAATTAAAAGTGAAGACAGTGAAGAATTGAACAGAAGGACACAATAGGAGCCTGCTGGATCAGGCCAATGGCCCATCTAGTACAGCCTCCTGTTCTCACAGGTGTATGGGGAAAACCTTAACTTCAAGAATTAGGAAAAGAAGCGACTCAGTTCCCACCCCCACCCCACTTTCCTCTCTATTCCTCCAAAGCAGCAGCTGCACAGAAGATGGTGACAGGATACTGGGGGGTGAGAGAAAGTGATCCTAACAAAAGAATATAAAAAGGGAAAGCATTTATTTGTCTCTTAAAGGATTTTTGCGCCCCAATGTAACTTTCTTTTTTAGTTTACATTTCATTGAGTTTTTAAAAGTTTGGCTAGTTCTATATGTTCCCCAAGATATTTTTGTGCCTCCACAACATAAAAATACGCATATTTTTTTAAAAAAAGTAATTTTTGGACGGACTGCTCTCACTGGTTCCCTGCGATGCCAAAAGTTTTTTTGGGACCCACCAGCATTGTTTCGCTTCAATTCATTTGTGTGTGTGTGTGTGTGTGTGTGTGTGTGTGTGTATTTAAAGCTGGTCACACACACTTTTGCGCTTTGGGCTCAGCTGCTTTGACATGTGGCCCTTGGAGGCTTGAGCATGGGGCAATGTAGCCCACAAATGTTAAGCCTCCCCTGCTCTACCAAACTCCCAAGGTTTGAGGGAGGAGGGTTGGGAAGAGGAGGAGAAAAGGGGGGATGAAAAGGAAACCAAGGCCTTCCCTAGATGACCCTTGGGGTCCCTTTCCAACTCTACAGTTCTCTGATTCCAGAGAGAGACTCGCTGGGCTCCAAGTATCCCTCGCAGGGCTCAGCGCGAAGCCAGGGCTTACAATACTGGCTGTCACTGAGCTTGGGGATAAAGGAGAAGTGGAGGGTGACCTGCCCGTTGTTTGTGATCTGGAACTTCTCCTTCTGTAGCTGCCGGAACTTCACATTCTCAAACGGAAAATGCAGAGCAAAGGGGGGGGGGAGGAAAGAGAGTGCTTGCCTTCAGCAGAGGCAAGGAAACGTGCTCCAGGGGGAAGTTTGTCCTTGGCCCCGGGCTCTCATTTAGGGGACTGCACATGCAACAGGTCCATGTGTGGCTCTCCAGATATTGCTGCACTTGCCACTGTGTTGGGTTGAAATAACGACAGACGAGTAGCAGGTGTCATGTGAGAGGCATCTCCCGAGCAAGCCCCCGAGGAGTCTCTTTTATTGAATATTACAACCTTTCCACATATGTGCTTGTTGCTGATTGGTTAACATGAATACAATGCAAGGGCATTAATCATAAGGGTTGGGAAAGGGAACACATGGTTACTAGTGATTGATATTGCATGACTTGAAAGAACATAACAATTGCAGTCCGTAGATGTGGTCAACAATGCGTTAAGAACAGGTCAAGGTACACTGTTTCATGAACTCAATGGGAACTGATCAGAACATTCCCAGACCCGTGCGCAGAGGCAAAAACTTCCCAGCACCACTGGCCATGTTGGCTGGGGATGATGGGAGTTGTAGTCCAGCATCTGGAGGGCACCACGCTGGCTACCCCTGGAGTCTTTGCCTGCGAGGAAGAGGCTGCCGCTCAGTGGAAGGGCATCTGCCTTGCATGCAAAGGTCCCAGGTTCTATCCCCAGCATCTCCAGGTAGGGCTGGGAGAGATCCCCCGGAAATCCTGGGGAACCGCTCAAGACTGAGCTAGATGGGCCAAGGGCTTCTTTCCCCCCTGGTCTTTTTGCAGCAAACCCTCTTTAAGGGGTTGGAGAGGATCCTATTCGTCTTTACCTCCCCTCCAGGGAGGGAAGAAATTCGTTCTCCATCCTGTCCATCAACTGAACAATATCCTCAAACACTTTCCGGTACCGTCGGTCAGCCACAACCTTCACCTATGGGGGGGGGGGCAGAGCACATTTGTTGGGGCTATGGACTGAAAGGGGGGGCATGAGTTAAGAGCAGAAAGGCCTGATGCACCCCCCTGTTCCCAGCCCTGAAAGAGGCAAGTACTGTAACTCTGAGAGCTTCCCCAGGATGGCAGCGGCTGTGACTTCCAGACCCAATGGGCTGAAGCCAAATGCTCCAAGCCAGAGTACCACAGAAGCTCCATTGCATGAATGGAGCCAGCGGTTAAGGTATACAGTTCAGCCCATGTGGTCTGCCATGCCTGCAGGAGCAGCGTGTACTCAGAACAGTGGAGAATGGAAGCCTAGGGATTTAACAGAGCCAAAACCTGCCCACTCCTTGCACCGGAAGTCATTGGCCAAGGAGGAGCTCTGTGGAAAGGGGCCTGGTTGTTGGTCAGGGCCTGCCCAGATTCGAGGAGGTGCCACATAGCAGGCAACTAAAAACCCTGAATAGACGATAGCCCTGACCAGGGCAAGTGTTACCCCTGTGAGGAAGAGGGAGCTGACGGGCTTGTGGTCGCTCCTTTTCAATTCCATGTGGCTTTGGTAGTTGAGCTGATTCACGCTGCCTCCTCTCCAGAGGATTGGCTCACACCATGCTGGCACACGGCACTTCCCACTGCAAGGAGACAGGAGAGACACCAGGACTGTTGGACTGGCTGAGGCAACACACAAGGCTCACACAGTCAAACTTTGGCTCCACACACGGCCTGTGATCTTGACCACGGTCAACAGCTGGAGATGATGGGGCTTGGGAGTCCAACTTCTTAAGGGGCGGACCTTGCAGGTGTGCAGGCATTTTGCCTCATGGAGAGAGTTGTTAGGAAATCAAAAGCTGCCTTCTACCAGGTCAGAATGAATTTCTGAGCTCCCCCAGTTTTGATTCCTACATTGCAGGGGGTTGGACTAGATGACCCTCGTGATCCCTTCCAACCCCACAATTAATTAATTAAGTCTACTCTGGCTGGCAGCAGCTCTCTGTGGCCCAATCCTTTTTCAGGTGGAGGTGCCTTTCAACTTGAGACTCTGCATACAAAGCATATGGCACACCACCAAATGATGATCCTTCCCCAAAGCAAGGGGCCCCGTTATTCTTGTTCAGACACTATTTTTTCAGTGATCCAAAAGACCCTTTCTGGCACCTGAAATGCTGCCCAAAGGAGCCTGCCATTTTCCGGCTTCGTCACTACATGTTCTCTTCAATAGATTTATTGCTTTATTGTTTGGCGCCCAGCCACGCTTCCCCTGCGAGTCTCTGAAGCTTCTGTTTACGCAGTGTGGCTTTGGAGCGGTCGTAAAGCAATTAGCAGAATTACACAGCGTCTGTGTGGCGAAAGGGCAGTAAATAAGTCCAGACGTTTCTTCTATCCTAATATCTCTTTATTGGAAACAAATAGCGTATTTACAATCTCCAACAGCCATCCGTGTTAAGCTGCATCTTCTCTCTCTCCTTGCAGAGGCTGTACTGAATGCTTTCGATTTCCACTCAGTACACAACATTCCAAGCTGTTTGCGTCACGTCCTGGCTTACTTCCCTTGTAAGCCCATCCCTTCAGGCTCGAGGCATAGAAGGTTAACCCTTCACTACACCCAACACCCCCTCTTGTCTCGCGCCTGAGGGGAGAATTGACCCTTTGTCGTTCCAAACCCAGACCTTCGCAAAACTCCCCATGTCTTTGGAAGGAGAGTGGCTTCGTGAACCCATCAGCTAGGTTCTTGGCAGAGGGACAGTACTTCAGTGCAACTAATCCCTCCTGAGCACTCTGACACACATTCTGAAAGCGAATGTCTAGGTGTTTAGTTCTGGCCTTGAATTGACCCGTCTCAGCCAAACGAAGGCATGGTTGACTGTCTTCGAAAACACGTATCAGCAGACAATCCACTCCGCAGAGTTCCTGCACTAAGCAAGCATAGAACTCTACTTCTCTGCATACCTCTGAAAGAGCACTGAACTCAGCCTCAGTGGATGAGAGCGCTATAAGACTTTGCTTCTTGGACCTCCATCCAACTACTGAGTTCCCAAACTTCACCACTAGGCCAGACACAGACTTGCGATCCTCAAGATTAGCCCAATCCGAGTCCACAAAACAAGTCAGTTTGACTTCTCCTTGTGCTGGCAACCTAAGACAAAAGTCTTTGGTTTCCTGCAAATACCTCAGAACTCTCTTGATGCCATTCCAGGCTTGCACACTAGGGTTTGAAGCTTCCCTGCTGAGCAGATTGACAGCAAACGCTATATCAGGTCTGCTCCACTGGGACAAGTACAATAAACTCCCTAGGGCTGACTGAAACACTTCAGCATTTTCGAATGCAGCGCGTTCTACTTGCTGACTGTCCTTCACAAAACTAGTCTCCATAGGACTTCTCACTCCTGCACAATCACTCATTCTGAACTTCTGAAGCATTTGCTCAATTTTGCCTCTCTGGCTGAGCAAGAAGCTTCCATCCTGTGCTCGGTCAACATTGACACCTAGATAGGTTTTGACAGCACCAAGCTGCTTAAGCTTGAACTGTTTACCTAGCTCTTTGGCAAACTTCTCTGCCTGTTCACCTGTCTCTGAGAAGAATAACAAATAATCAACCCAAATCTGCAAATACTCTTGTGTTGCACCTGGTCCTCTCAAATAAAGGCAACTATCTGCAACACTTCTTCTGAAACCTAGCTCTTCTAAGGCTTCATTCAGGCACATGTTCCAGTTTCTGGCAGATTGACGTAATCCATAGATGGATTTGTGCAATCTCCACACAACACCCTGTCTCAAGTTCTCAAACCTCGGAGGAGGAATCATGTACAGCTCCTCCTGGAGATCTGAGTTTAGGTAGGCAACATCCACATCAAAGTGGTTTACCTTCCAGCCTCTCTGTGCTGCACAAGCTAAAAGCGTTCTCAGAGTCTCTGCTCGTGACGTTGGTGAATACACCTCCGTGAAGTGTATTCCCTTTCTCTGAGTGAATCCTCGAGCAACTAACCTAGCTTTATACTGTGGCTCTCCAGTGTCAGTGGGTTTCAAACGGTAAACCCACCTGCAACTCACTGCCTGCTTGCCTGGTGGCAACTCTATGAGTGAGAACACACCTAGATCTTCCATGGACTTCATCTCTTTGTCCATTGCCCTGTGCCACTTACCTGCTTCTTCCTGAGGTAAACTCTGAATATCCTCGAAGGATTCAGGTTCACACCTGGCTGAACCTACCCAGACGCCTGAAGCTTCAGGAGGCCTCCTTGTCCTCGCTGATCTCCTCAGTGTGAATCCTGGTAACCCTGCTGCTTCACTGGGTCCAGCTAAATCATCCTCAACTTCAGTGTCTTCCCCCTCTGACCTGCTGCGCCTCTTGGGCCTTACAACTGGTCCAGCAGGTGAGGAAGGCTCACTCTTTGGCTCAGACTTAACACTTGCCTGAGGAGGTGTTCTAGGTTCCCCCCTCTGAGGGATCCTCAGCTGTCCCTGCCTTGGACTCTGTCCCTGTGGTGGACACTGTTGCTCTGGACCATGGTCCCCAGCAACGAGTTTGTCTTCCTCCTCAACGTCTGAGTCATAGAACGACTGTGGAATCACGTCTGGATTAGCGTGCAGACGTTTCCAACCGGCTTGTTCACAGAACTCAGCGCTATTGCTGATAACCAACCTAGACTGGTTTCCACTTGGGTACGCAAACCTCCAGGCCTTTGAGCCAGGCTCATACCCTACAAAGATCATTCTTTTAGATCTTGGCACACCTTTCTTGCGTAGAGCCTTTGGAATAAGCACCCAGGCCTCACAACCAAACACATGAAGGTAGTGTACCGTAGGCTTCTTTCCATGCAGTAAGAAATAAGGTGTATTTCCTACACTAGAGTTGTAGGCCGCCCCTTCTGTGATGTATGTATGATGTATGGAGGGGTGGTCTTGGGCTCCAGGGTGGGCAATTTCAAATGTCTATACAGTGGTGCCTCGCAAGACGAAATTAATCCGTTCCGCGAGTGTCTTCGTCTAGCGGTTTTTTCGTCTTGCGAGGCAACCCTATTAGCGGCTTAGCGGATTAGCGCTATTAGCAGTTTAGTGGCTATTAAAGGCTTAGCGGCTTAGCTGCTAAAAGGCTATTAGCGGCTTAGCGGCTTAGAAAAAAGGGGGGAAAGCGAAAAAAAATCTCAAGACTCGCAAGACATTTTCGTCTTACGAAGCAAGCCCATAGGGAAATTCGTCCTGCGAAGCAACTCAAAAACGGAAAACCCTTTCGTCTAGCGGGTTTTCCATCTTGCGAGGCATTCGTCTTGCGGGGCACCACTGTATAAGGACTTGGTTCGGGGTCTCCTCCTCCCTCCTGCGTGGGGGGGGGGTGAGCACCCTGTTGCAACAGTTAATAAAGATCTGGCTTACTAGCTGCTTTGGTTCTCAATATTCTCTGGTTGGCCTCTGTTATTTTCTCCTACCGATAGAGAAGCTACAAAAGGACTCTATATGGGCTCTGAGGTACCCCAGAAAGGAAAAGGAGCCGTTTTTTCCTTATAACACTGGCCCCCAGTCCCCACCCCCTTGCAGCTGACCCCTTGCTGCTATCTGCTTTGCAGGGCATTGAGGAGGCATCCTGCTAGCCAAAGGAGACATGTGCAATTCACATTTGTAGTGTTCTAAATATGTACAAAGCAACCTTGCTGGGGGATGTGGATGAGGTTAACCCTTTCTCTCCCTGCCATGGTCCCATGAAGCTGCTGTATTTCAAGGGAAGATCCCTTGGCCCCCCTGGCAGAGAGAAAGACTTCAACTTCCTCCTCCCAGCCATCCCAGCAGCCCTCAGGCTTCCCCTTGGCTGCTTCTAAGGTAATAAACAACCACCAATGAATACCATGCCTACTTTGGATCTGAGAATTCAGAAGATAACCTGCCAAGAAGAATACACAGCTATTTCTCCCCCTCAAGATACCTTGTATTCCTCGACAGCCTCTTCCAGAGGAATCACCTCGTGGTGTTTGTGCTTCTTGGATCTGCCCCAAACCACACAGATGGGGCCTTCATCCTCCTTGCAAAAGAGTTTCAGGGGCTCCTGGTCCTTCTCACAGACTCCTCCTTTCCCTCTTGAAGACTGAGAGTCTTGGCTCCTTTGACAAAGGTAGCCAATTGCCGATTGCGGACGAGGCTCCTTCTCTGGACTCCAACTCGGCCTTGAGGAAAGGAAGCCAGCCTCGTTTTTGCCCCGCTGCACTGGATCAGGCCGGACCGGCAGAAGTTATGCCCACACTCTGGGATGGTCCCTGTGTCGTAAGAGAGTCAGGGTCAGAGAGGGGAATGAAGGAGAAGGACCCTACCAATATCAAATAGATCGTATTTGCCTTGGGGAATGGATCGTTTTTCGCTGTATCGAATTGTATCCTTTTTGCTGTATCTTTCTCATTGACTTTAAGAATGGATCTGAATGTATTTTTCGACTCAAATGTATTTTTCCTCAAAATGCTGTACTTTTCTAAATGTATCCAAATGTATCCGAATGGGTTTTTGTATTTCCCCCCAATCTCATCGCCTAGAGAATGTTCCTTAAATGTAACAATCACTTGTTCCAAATGTATTTGATTCAAATTTATTCGAGTGTATACTTTTATGGGAAAACGTAGCTAGGAAAATGTGGAGATATATATATATATATATATATATTGTTTATAGTGCCTTTGAACGGTCAACGTTCCACCCTCTATCCTTTCACGGGCTGCCAAAAACACTCTCCACACCACACTGCCATCTACTGGGTCTACAAATAATACCATGAATACACACAAATACAAGCTCTAAAATAACTTATTTTTATTTTCCAATAAGTATGCAAACATAAGACTATCACACCCGAATTGATATCTATGCAGAACAGGATTCCCCCCCCCCTCCATCGGATAGCTGCCTGCGCGGCTGTCTTTGAGGGGGGTGGAGGGAGGAACGGGCGGGATCGACATCGGATAGCTGCCTGCCTGCCTGCCTGCCTGCCTGCACCTGCCTGCCTACCTGCCTGCCTGCGCCCATTGGGAAGGAACAAGACAGGAAAAGGAAGGAAATGGGAGAGGTATTTTTAAGGCCCCACTTTTCACATGGTGTCCTGTTGTGTGGTCGGAAAGTACTCTTTATTGTTTGATTTGGGTTAATGTCAGAATAAAAGCGAGTTCCTTCAAAATAACACATTCCTTTTTATCTTACCAGTTTCTCATATTTTAAGAAGCGGAAGAAGAAACCATAGAGAGCACTCATATTTTCCTTCTGATCAATGAAGTCAAACGTTACAATTATCCATTTTAGAATGAGCACCTATAGGGAGAAGACAGATCTCAGTAAGCCAAAGCAAGGCCAAGACAACAAACCCCTTCTGGAATATGGTCAGCGTGTACAACATCTAGCTGAATCATCACCAGGATAACTAAGTCAGACTGGGGGAAATATCATTCTTCAGAACCAAGACATCATTACCATGCTTTCCAAGTTACCTGAAACTCACTAGAACACTTCACTCTTGATAATTTCTCACAAGCTCGAAGCAGCCCCGGTTCTTGGTAAGCGAGAAGGCAGGGCAATGCAGCTACTTTGACATACTTTGCTGCCAAGGGGAAAGAGAAGCCAAAACATGTCTTCTTTACCAAGCTTGGCACTGAGTGCGATGTTCAGCAAGTTCTGAATTTCTTCTGGTGCCAAGCCTCTCTCTTGCGCAATCTTTTCCACAGTCTCCAAAGGACTCTGCAAAGCTCCCTGCTTCCGTGAGGCACTATCTTGAATTAGAAAAAAGTCAAAGTGTGATTCAAATCCATTCGAAAAACCGTCCTCATGCATGATGGCCTGTCCAATGGCTTGCTTTACCATCAATTGGCAAGGGAGCCCCATTGCGATGCCATGGCATTTGGAAAACTCTGGAATGCTGAACTTGCCTTTTGCTTTCTTGCTCCTTCGTTCAGTGGGTAGGTAGGTGTAGGTCGGGGCAAGTCGAAGCTTCCTTGAAATTCCTCAGCCCCAGCCAGCATTGCCAATGGGCAGGATGATGAGAATTGTAGTTCAGCAACGTCTGGAGGGCCAGAGGTTACCCTCACCTGTTTCATCGGTTAGTGTGCTAAGATCTGGGCACAAGCCCAATTCAGCTGACGGTACTTAACAAGGGCTTGCTTTACACAAAACATGAGAGCTAATACACTATTCTGCTCCAATATACAAAACAGCCCCTTCTCTAGAGAAAGCTCAAGAAAATACAAACTTTGGGGTTTGTAGATGGCTGTAAAGGTTGCTGAAAGGTTTCTAATTCACTAGTTGGAAACAGCTTCCAGGCTAGGCAGGACCAAGGTTGCTTTGTAACTGTTCCTGTCTGCCTGCTTGCCATCGTGCATATTTGTAAACCATTTCTGCCAAAATATCTACATCTACAATAGTAGTTTCTGGAAGCAGACCCTGCGAGAGTGCACACTCCATGAAGTCCATATGAAGAGTGTTACGGAATGGAGGGGGGGCATATGAACAAAGTCTTACTCCCGAGTAAGAGACGTAGATCCCGAGGCGATGACCTCAAGGGAACCCTGCCACACTAGGACTCCCCTCACCCCGTCACAACGTTGCAGCAAGCACCGCACAAAAGTCCAAAACCCCGAGAAGAAAGCGCCATTTCTGACCCCGTATCCCGATGCTATACACGATCGATGTATTTGATGAATGATCAATGTATTTGCATGAGGATGCGCTCTAGCCAATCAGATGGCGTTGAATGTAGCCCTTCAGCCAATCGCAGCAATGCCATGGCTCTGCAGAGGCAGCTCAGCTCCAGCTGTTTTGCACGCTCCACTGAGCGCTGACAAGGTGATGACAGCTCCCACTGCGAGAACAACAGACTGAGTCAATCGAAACCTCGTTACCCTGTTAATCCAATCAAAACTAGATGTTGTTTAGTCGTTTAGTTGTGTCCGACTCTTTGTGAGCCCCTGGACCAGACCCTCCTGTCTTTCACTGCCTCCCGCAGTTTGGTCAAACTCATGCTGGTAGCTTCGAGAACACTGTCCCACCATCTCGTCCTCTGTCGTCCCCTTCTCCTTGTGCACTCCATCTTTCCCAGCATCAGAGTCTTTTCCAGGGAGTCTTCTCTTCTCATGAGGTGGCCAAAGTCTTGGAGCCTCAGTTTCAGGATCTGTCCTTCCAGTGAGCACTCAGGGCTGATTTCCTTCAGAATGGAGAGGTTTGATCTTCTTGCAGTCCATGGGACTGTCAAGAGTCTCCTTCAGCACCAGAATTCAAAAGCATCCATTCTTAGGTGATCAGCCTTCTTTATGGTCCAGCTAGATACAATGTAGCAATGTCAGGCCAGGCCACTTCCGAAAAGAACTGTCTGTATTAAAAAAGCCTAAAAACACTTGGAAATTCATAGAAAATCACTGGTTTCACCGATTCTCTTCATTCCACCGCCAGTCTGCTTCGTTGGCCAAGGACATGGGAACCCCTCGGTCCCCGCCAGAATTCCCCAAGCGGGAGGTCACCTACTCACAGGAAGGTACTTTACCCGTAGGTGACAATCACTGGGCAAAAGCTCTCCTCCTGACTTACCCAGGCGGCAGACTATGCAAACCAAAGTTCTATTGTCCTCTTGCAGTAGGTGCTTAGAATGTACTTCCCAAGACATATCCTGTATTTGCATGTTACCCCAACACATTCCTCCTATGTGAATTATGTATAACCCTCCCCTTTTCTGATGGAGTGGTGATGTTTAGCAAACTGTCTGCTGGGATAAGATAGGAACTTTTAAAAGTCATTGTCACCCCGTTCTCGGGGTTCAATTCCTCTCTGAACCTGTTGCGCAATCAATTTTGGTCTCCGCTATTTGCGGTTGGTGGCTGGACTCCTTCTTATTTCCGGAGGGACCCACGGGCTCTGAGCAGCCTCCCACCTGGATTTTTCCGTAACAACAGAAACTCGACTAACCCTCTTGAGAGAAGAAAGGTGGCTTTTGCTCCCACTGCAATGTTGTAATCTAAATAAGCACATCTTCCTACAAGTGAAGAGAAGCCACCTATCTGGGGGGAAATAAAGTGGTATGCTGAGAGACATGGTTACGGTGGAGAGCAAATCTGTGTTCCACAATCCGAACATCCAGAGAGAAACCAGATGGCAGCTTTTTTTTTACTGTGTCCACAGAACTCAATGAAAGCCAGCCAATGGTTTGGGTCAGGTTAAGTAGAAGCATGTTGAAATCTGCAGATGGCACAAAGTTCAGCGGCAGTAAATCAGAAAGAGGGGCAGTCCTTAAACAGCTGAAGAGAATGGGATAAACCTCAACTGAGCATCCAAGTATTAACATCCTGACGGTAAGGACCTTACCCAACCCTGGTCACATGTAAACACCATTTTAAAGTATGGCTTGATGAGCTAAAAGATGAAGAGGAGTACCCATTCAGAAGCACAGCATATTGGAAACAATGCAGTTCAGTACTAACACTCAGATATGCACCAGCTTTATTCCCAGTTCGTGATCCAGCAAGAGACAAACGTACTGGAGCTGATTTACATGTCTTGTTCTTCTTTGCTGGATTGGGACATAAGCACTGAGCCCTATCTTTGTTCTTACCTTTATTCAAACGGGTCAAGGCTTCTTCAATGGAAAGTCGGTCATCTTCTGTCTCTTCTGGCTTGTTTACTACCAGTAGCCAGCAAAGCTTGTTCTGGCACCTTAGAATTCTCGTGTCTCTTCATTTTTTTCTTATTCCAGGAAAGAAACACAAGACAAGGTCAGCTTTTTCTTTCTTTTCTTTTGCTAGTATTTTCCTGTCCTCCGATAATCAAGTTTGGTGCAGAAAAGGAATGGAGAGCTTTTTTGTTGTTGTTTAGTCATGTCCAACTCTTCATGACCCCCTGGAGGAGAGCACGCCAGGCCTCCCGCAGTTTGGTCAAACTCATGCTGGTAGCTTCGAGAACACTGTCCAACCATCTCGTCCTCTGTCATCCCCTTCTCCTAGTGCCCTCCATCTTTCCCAGCATCAGGGTCTTTTATAATTCCTCATAGTAATCCCATCTGATCACTACATCTCTGGATATTTGCACTCCTACATAGGCTGAGCCTGGGACCTGGCTCAGGAACTAAGTATTTGTCATTACAAAAGACTGGCCAGGCTCCGCAGGGTACCCAATCAAGCGAGCACTAACAGGTAACCTGCCAGACAGGAGGTAAACAACGCACTCAGATGTCTGTTGTAGACCGCCCTTTCTGTGATGTAGGTATGATGTATCTGGGGGGTGGTCTTGAGCTGCACCCCTTCTGTGATGTAGGTATGATGTATTTGGGGGGTGGTCTTGAGCTGCACCCCTTTCTGTGATGTAGGTACGATGTATCTGGGGGGTGGTCTTGTGCTACACCCCTTTCTGTGATGTAGGTACGATGTGTCTAGGGGTGGCCTTGGACTCCAGGGCGGGCAATTTAAAATGTCTCTATAAGGGCAGGCACACCTTTGTTTGGGGTCCTCCTTCTTTTCCTGCATGTGAAGGGGGCACCCTGTTGCAACAGTTCAATAAAGATCAGGCTTACTAGCTGCTTTGCTTCTCAATCTTCTCTGCTTGGCCTCTGTTATTTTCTCCGAGTGATGAAGAACCTACAAAGGACTCTAGAAGGGCTCTTGTGTTCCCCATAAGGGAATAAGGGCAGATTTTTGTTTATTACAATATGCAGGAGTGGGCTGCAAAAGACGGAGTTTGGCCTCATTAGGTCTCCCTACCATGAACTCCTTAGGTGGGCCACCCTGCGTCCGCCTCGGCATCGCGCCTCGCTATTCTGCAACTCGAGATAACACTGAACTGCTCTGCAGGGTTGTTGTAAGGATTGCAAGTCAAGGCATCCAAAGTGCCTTTGAACATTGAAAAGCCCCTAGTCAATGCTTTGAACTACTGTTGCTTTAAAAACGAAACTCTGATTAGTAAGAGTTTGGGGAATTAAAAATTGGTTTGTCCTGGGGGCGCTGAAGCTGTGTTCTGGCTTGAAAACCCAGTGAGACCACTGGGCCATCTAGTTCTGTATGGTCTGCCACAGCCAGCAGCTGCTCTCCAGGATTTCAGAGCTCAGTTTCCCATGAATGGGTTGAAACGGCCGCTTTTTGCATCATGTGCCTCTCCCAGTGGGCCACCCAGAGCCATTTCCTGTACAGCTTTCTACATCCCATGTAGTCCTGCTTCTTCCAGCTCAATTCAGTTCATTCTGCAACTGTGCAAGTTAGGCCGCATCTGCTTTATGCATTCAAAGCACCATCATGCCCCTTGACATGCTAACAGTTGCATCTTTTATTCAATCCCTTCAGCACCTTGGACAGCAGTCTCTCAAGGCTCAGCCACAGGTACCTGGTGCCCCATGCTTCCTAGGCACAGGTCCGTGCTTTAAAGGCACTGTGTCCGAGTGTTTTGTTGTCCCAGGGCTTTCTAATTTTGACTCATTTTCAGCATCCCTTTCCAGGGCAGCTTTATTTATTTCATGTCCTTAAGGAGTCCTCTGTGCATGGCAAAGGCTTGTTGCTGGGACAATAGGAGGCTGCCTTATACTCAGTCCCAGTATGGCTCTATCTAGCTCAGTCTTGTCCACAATGGATGGCAAAAACTCTCCAGGGTTTCAGACAGAGGACATTCTAGCTGAAGATACAACAGATGGAACCTGAGAGCTTCTGCATGTAAGCAGCTGCTTTACCACTAAGCTATGGCCCTTCTCCCATTGCTTCTGCCCTGAATGAACTGCAAGCCTGTCCTCCAGTCCTCCCAAAACTCTCTTTTGTGGCTACACTCTGCAGGAGGTCATTGGTTTCAGAGGTTGAGCTGTCTGCACAAGTGACTGAATCAGTGAGAAGGCTGATCTGTAATGAAATGCTGACTTTCAGGCA